ATTTGAATTTGAATTTGAATTTGAATTTGAATTTGAATTTGAATTTGGATTTGAATTTTATTTTGCCATCCTTAGAGGTGGACTATTTTCTTTAAATTTAAATGGGACCACTAATGAGGTAACTTCTTTCCAACAATAAAGAATCATCAAAATCGGTTCACAAATGGCGAAATTATCGCGTACCATACATACAAAAAAACATGCAGTCGAATTGAGAACTCCCTCTTTTTTAAAAGTCGGTTAAAAATAAAGTTTTGGGCTCGGTTATTGCCCAGGAAGCCAGCTTTTTGTTTTTTTTATAACATCAAGTGACGGGATGAACAAGTCGGGCGCCTGATGGTAAGCTACACGCTTGTCCATAACAATTACAGTTTGACTGAGAGCTTTAATCGGAAAGATCTGAGGGGCACTGGCACTGTGTCTGTTACCCTGAGACATAAGTTAACAAGTCCCATGTGCCTGTAATTTCAGCAGTACCCTTCAAAGCCGAGCAGTAATGCTCACATTACTGCTTGGCGGAAGAAATAGGTAAGGTGGCAGTATTTCCCTGGATGAACTCTTTCTCAAGGAGCTCTGCTGCCGCTGAAGCTATTTATTAATGTGCTGCGATAAAAATTTGTTTTCATAATTATTTCTGTATCTACCTAGAGCATGTTAGAGGTCACTTACTGGTCATATCCAGCCACACGCTAACAGTGCTGCCTTCGACGACGTCGTCATCCACAGAGCCCTCCCGCAGTCGCTGCTCCAGCATTTCGCTGAAGTTGTACCTGAAATATAACGCTGCGTACAATTGCCCTTTTACCACCGCGTTTTTCGCTTCCTCTGTTGTGTTATAGCGAACCTGAAAATAACAAATAAGATTAATTAGAACATTATTAGCTCTGTGTAGCGGTAGAGGCAGGAATCATTGGATAGTCGGCACTAAATTACATTTAAAGAGATATACGTAGATATTAACTGCCTCCGTGGCCGAACGGTTACCATGCTGGACTGCCACGCAGAGGTCCCAGGTTCGATTCCCGGGCCCGGAGAAATATTTGTATGGCCTACATTTATTTCTCTCGTGAGTTTGGGTGTAATTTGTGGTTGTCTATGTGTGTATCTGCTGTGTGGCTGGCTATGTCGAGTGTGTGCGTTATTATTAAAGCATATAACTGACAGGATCGATGGAAGGAACACAGGCAAATCCAACATCATCGCTGCCAAGAATAATAAAAGCTTTTTAACCGACTTCAAAAGAAGGAGGAGGTTCTCAATTGGACTGTATGTTTTTTTGTATCTATGTTACGCGATATCTCCGACATTTGTGATTTCGATAATTATTTGTTTGTCGGAAAGGGGGTACCTCAGAAGTGGTCCGAT